TTTTCAACCAGTTTGGCGTGAAAATCCTGCGGAAGTTCCGGTGAATTGTTTGAGTGATTATCGATCCATGGTTGAATCTTTCGTCTGATGTGATGTTCATTCTTTGCTAGAGTAGATCTTCTTGCTCAACTGGTAAGGTCCTTGTTTTAGAGGGGACGAATGTCCATCACATTTCCATGTTGGTCCAGAGTCAGTAATGCGGTTGAAGACCCTCAAACAAAAGTCTCTGTAGCTCAGGATCAGGTGGTTCAGTTGACGGGCGAAGATGGTGATTGGTAGGAGTTTAAATCTTTTCTTTCATCTTTTCAATGTCCACTGAGGTGTTTTAAACGATTTTTTCTTTGGCTAGCTCAGGAGTTCATCGATGATGAAGCACTTTTAACTATGTTTTTATGGTTTTTACCTTTTCTGCTTTCATGATTTTGTTTTCAAGGTACACCGTAAAGACGCTAGATGAACAATTCGGCAGAGTTCCAAAGGTTCTGACCAACGTTATCACCAATCCTCTGCGGTGAGCGCGCTAAGCCGCTTTTAAAATGGCTGTCTAACACTTGGCTGTTTAGGGTATCTACGGAGAAAGTATTTTGCTCAATAGCACAGTATGATCCACAAAGAGAAGGAGATCTAGCTTTTGGAATTTTCACTATACTCGGTGAGTTTTTCCAGCGTTCGGTTTCATAATTCGATCACTTTTGTTATTTTTTCATCTACTTAGTTTCTGAATCGATCAGTCCCGAAGGATGGCATACAGGTGTGGTTGTCACTGATACAGGAAAACGTCTAGGAAGTAGTGGGACTTATCCTGGAACTTTTGTTACAGAGGTAAATGCTCTTTTTACGCTGATGATTGTCTTTGTCCTTTTTGAACAAGAGCCTGTTTTTGCTTGTAAATGCCATTATCCATCGATCGTTTATTTCTTATCTCCATATAAAGCTTGTGCGGGCTGTGCATGGACTGTTAATAGGCAGTGTTCGCGCAAAAAATTAATTTTGAGATTGTGTGCTTACCCCAGCCTATTTGCTATGCTGAATCCGAAAATCAACACTGGAGT